TCGGACAGCCCACCCGTTTGAACTAATAAAGTGCCAGGGGCCTAAGTGGTCACCTAAATATTAAAAAAAAAAAAAAACCAAAGTTGGATACATATTCAGATTCAACAATAGTTACTTCAGACATGCTAGGTATTTTAAAATATTTACTATAAATGAACAAGCTAAAGGCTCTTTGGATCAACTATTTCAATATCTGATTTGTTTTTTGGTTTATATTTAAAAATTAATTTAGATATTATTATGATTTTATTGGTTATAATTTTCAAAGCAGTTTTGACAAATATTGAAAATTTAATCATTTGGAATTATAATTTGAATTATATTTTCTTTAGTACAATCAATAAATATCAAAACTTTTTTATTAGCATCTCTTTTAGTAATATATTTATTACGAAAGCCTATTTTATAATCAGAACCCTTTTTATATTTTTTGTCAAAATTTGTTGGTTGGCAAGAATGGACATGCATTCAAGAGAAATCTTAATTTTGGATGTGTTAACATTTCAGAATAATTCATAAATAAAATATATTATTATCGCAATCACAAATCAATGCCGAATCAAAAACCTATCAAATTAGCCAAATAATCATTCAGTTAATCTTTTACCAGATGTCTCAAAATTTATGAGAACAGCTGTAACAGCCAGTATTATGCAAGCAGAAAAGTGCGAAATAGTGATGGCGCAAAAATTGGCAGTCCCGTAACTAGTTCAATAACAATGATATCCAAATTTTTATTTAAATATTAGGCCATACAAAGTTAATTTTTCAGTTTGCATTACCTGCTGACCCATTTTTTCTTTTTTTAATTTTTTTTTTAATTTTTTCTCATAAATTAATCTGGTACCACCTGATGGAGACCTTATTTTTCCGGAATTGTCTATTAGAACTGATAAAAAAAATTCAAGTCTATTAATTGGCGTAAATTTTTTTTTTTAAAACCCCCTCCCCCAACCGACCAACCGTTGATTTTGAAATCCATGTAATGAAAAACAAAAAATTAACTTTGTGTGGCCTTAATATTTGCATTATTACAAAGTAGAAAGAATATTTCTAAATTTTTGAACTAAAAACTTTTACATAATAACAATACCAATTTCTCCTGTGAATTTATGAGTTTTTGCAATTTCTGTTTTTTTTCGTTTTTATTTTTTTTTTTAGTTCGCATTTGTATGCTACACACTGATCTTACAATTAGATTAATAAAAATCACGGGACTGCAAAATTTTTGCGGCATCACTATTTCACTTGGTGGGAAACTAACAGCCAGTGCTAAGGCGCTCAAACTCAACTGTTATTTCTAGGTGCATACTCTATATTAGTTTCAATATTTCAATAAAATATGTATGTACATTGTGAGCGTGGGAACTAATCCAAGCTTGGGAAATATGGGTAATACAAATATCAATCAACACTAAAACTAATCTAACCACTATTCTAAAACTACTAAACTCTATCTTAACCCTAATATGGCAGGCTATGATTGAGGTGTGAAAGACTTGGTTTAAGTTATTAGGACCAAATAGAGCTTTTGATTACGTCATGAGATTCTAATGTCACGGGTTTAGACTATTAACTTTATGTGATTTTGACTTATCGGGGGGGGGGGGGGGGGAATTGGACCGAAACTTTGAAGTCAGAATACTAGACTCTCTATGAGTCGAACCTAATAAGTTTTTCCAACTCTCACTGAGTTCTACCTGACTTTTACAAACTCTCACCGAGTTATCTTTTATTAAAATGAAAAGATAGGTCTTAAATAGCTTTTGACCTTTGCTGCATACATAGCGGATAAACTTTACTAACATTAATTTCTAGTTTTCTAATTATAGATTCGAATTGGCTTAGGTGGAGACAAATTGTCTCTAGGGACAATTTGTCTCTAGGGACAACTTGTCCCTTTTCTATAAAAATCTAATTTTAGCAGTGTCGATCATTCCTGCTTTTTCCATACTTAGATTATATAGTACTAATAGATAAATAACACTAATAACATATTCATAACAAAAAAAATAATATAAATAATATAAAAAAAAAGAAAATATGTGGCTCATGACCACCAGAGAGCCGCTTACAACATACGTTACATCTTTTTTAAATAAACAAACCTGTTCAACAGCGGAGATCATGTATAAGCAGATCTAAATCTACGTAAAATCTATAAAGTGCAAATCATACTATATCCTTGAATCGATTACCAAAAGTAGTAAGGTACAACAGGTATAGATGCTAGTACCAGAATTTAGAATAAGTGTACGGCTACAATTTTACGCTTTTATATGGTATTAAACAAAACCAGTATACGTGATCATGTACACGATGTCTATTGGATACACTATCCAATAGGATTCAAGAATTTGTACACAGATAGTTGCCTGTAAACCATACACTTCGTACTTTGTACTACATTCCTGGTATATTTTTTATATAGTTCTCGCTCGGCAACTTTTCAAATTGATTTCTACATTTTTTTTTAAACTATAAATATCTTTGACTTTTTTTTTAAATTGCTACTTTCCTTATTTACTCTAAATTTTCAAATCCACTACATTTTGTTTTTATTGTAGTGTATTGATATTATTATTTTTTTCTCCGCCTCGTTTCAAACTTCAAACTATTTTTACTAATATATTTGTTTGTAATATCTGTTATTATAGAATTATGTCTTAATCGTGCTTGATAGTTACGTGGTTATAATTTAAATTTAAAAGTAAGTAACATTTTAGTTAGATTAAAATACATAAGCAAATATAATTTTTTTATGAACGCATACATTCGTAAATAGAAATCTTCAAACTAAAAACTAAATATAATAATATTATAAAAAATTGATTGGATATTAAAATTTCAAAAATTTACAAAAGTTTATATTATTTTAAAACCTCATTTAAAAGGTTATTTATTTAGATGCGTATTAAGAATTGTTTGTTTTGTAACAATGTACTATACACCCGAAAATAAATTGGAGTATCAACAATTTATAATTAATTAATTATGCAGTTAAGTATTATGTATAATTTTATAATAAGAAGCTGCACAACACAGTTGCGCGAAACCAGGAATGGTGTGAAAGGGTGAATTGTAACACAAAATACTTTTCTGGCATAGCAGATCGAGGTGGGTTAGAAAAGATCTGTCAAATATGTCAGATATGTCAGATCCGTTAGATATGTTGGATCTACTAGATATTCTATATTTGTTATATCTATTAGATATGTTATATCAATTATATATATTAGATATATTATATAGACTATATATGTTAGATAGAATTAACGAATCAGATTGTAGCCAAACAATGTATATAAGGCCTCAGCGTTCACTTTAAATAAAGATATCTCTAGCTATTGCTAGTTAAACGTTTTGCACATATAATTATATACATTTGTTTTCATAATTTCTGACAAACTATTTTATATGCTCATTACCCCAAATTAGAGCTTCGTGACATAGTCTAGAGCTCTATTTGGCCCTAATAACTCGTACCAAGTCTTTTCATGCCTTCTTTCATGTCTTCCACCATTAGGGTCTAGATAGAGTTTGGTAGTTCTGTAGTTTATTATGTAAATTCGGATTAGTTTAGCCTTAGTTCATATCCGTGAGGCCATATTTAAATAGTAGGACTCGATTTAGCCCCTCACAACAGACAAATATATTTTTTTTAGAAAATGTTGGACAATTTCAATACAGAATAGATATTGCCCGGAGCATAGTGAAGAATACTGTTTTTACATCTATATTTGAACTACACAGTCATCTTTGATTGGTTGTAAATTATGAGCTTATTGATATTTTAATAATAGCTTTGGACACACTATACTATTGCATTTCTAGTATATATTATAGATAGTTTTGAATTCAGATAATTACACAAACTAATGTTGGCGATCGTTAAAACTCAGAATAAAATCGAATATCATGGAACTTCTGCATGCATGATTTAATCGTGACCTGCCGATTGTTATGTAACACACTATATGATTTGACAGATATTACCCCAACCCCTAATATAACCGCATCAAAAAATGATAGTGATATTAGTATGGCTGATATAGGAGGAGGTAGTCAGCTACCCTCTTATATGGAATCTATAAATGAGGAGGGAAGTTAGATTTCGTCTGAAAAGTAATAAATTTAATCCGAATGTTTGGTTATATTTTTTGTAATGTAGATAAAAATCACGTGTTTCCGTTCTGTTTCGGAACGCAGATCATTTTTCCTGACCCGAGTCAGCGAAATTTCTGATATGTCTAGTAATAAAATCGATTGCGTAACACAGATGTTCGATCAGGCCATTACTTCGTAATACATATATCACAGAATAAATTAGAATGTCATGGAACTTTTCATGCATGATGTAATCGTATGACCTTCTGACTAACACAAAAAACCAGATTTGAATATTTTCTTTGTAAAAAACGCTTTCAGAAAGAAAAAAAATGCAGATTCTTTTAGAAGGAGAGTATAGTTTTTGTCTTCGTATATATTGTTTTTTATCCCAATTTCATATTTGCTAAACTTCATACAGAAATGGAGCAGGATTATAAATACCTCGGTTGGAAGGATTTTGGTGTTGACTATTTGGAGAATAATTGTGACAAAGTCAGAAAAGTACGCTTCGCTTCATGGTTCAGCTATACAATTAACGCAAATAGCGGGCGATATGGTTCTATGAGCGACACGTTTCAAATTTATAAGCTGGCTTGCGAGAAAGCTTTACGTCGCTCTGCCAAATCTAGTAGCATTCTACGAGATGCTTATGAAGGATTTTCTAAGGTTCCCGACGTATGTATTGTTTTTTTTACCCATCCATAATATTTCATATGATGACATTCCGTCTATTCAGAGAACCAATTTCACACCACCTCCTCACACCTGAGATTTGGGCCCTGATGGTCGTTCGTGGTGTAGTATATGGATCTGATTAAATAAGAGTGTTGAATAATAAGCAGAATATAGAATTTTTGTATATTGACTCCTCTATTTTTATAGAACAAGCAGAGAACGCAATATATATCAACAGTAGAGGCTATGGAATCAATGGTTAACCTAAACTACTATAATTTCGTTTTAGAAAAGCTTATTACTGGCACTAACATATTTTATACATTTCAGGTTTCTCTTAAATTCGTAAGCCCAACAGAGGAGAATCCTGTCTTTTCAAACAAGAAAAAAATTGGGAAACGATTGGTAACGCACTCATATTGTGAGTGGTTATGGTTTTTTTTTTGCTTGTACTTACTCGATACTTCTGTAGAATGATTTATTCCAAGATGAGACGTCCCGTTCATTGCTATTATATGAGTTGAGGAACCTCTTTGAATCCTTTGATGCCAGCAATATTGAATGGAACGATCCACTCAGCTTTGGTTGCATTGTTGATCGAAATTCAGACATAATTTTTGGAAAGTTGCCAGAAGAGTGAAAGAAGAATTTGAGAGAAATCATAAATTTGGTATATGATCAATACGAAACAAGCCCCATTATTTCCGAATTGGTTAAAGTCCTTTTAGTAAAATCAAAGAGCTTGAATAAAAGAGAAATGATAGTTTCACTCCCACCTATACCAGCGGATTTCCAAGGAAATGATGAGGAATTTGAAGCTATATGCGTGATGCATAGGATCATAGACTTGTATAGGTAATTGAGCTTCTCCGTCTTGATAATTAACCAATTTCTAATACTCTTATTCTATAGCTGACATATCTAGTGCTACTTTAACGATGAAAACAAGGCTGAATACACTGAGGGGACATATATCGTCCGCATAGTATCCAACTTTCTTGATCCACTGTTTTGTTATGAAAATACCAAACTTAAAATTATCTGGTAAAGTTTTAGATAATGTGTAAAAAATATGAATTTTTACAAGAGGCGGTCACATAATGATTATAACAAGTTTACATACATCATAACAGGGCTGAAGAAGTCTCGGAGGCATCTCAACGTCGGATGGTTGATTCTGGAGAAATCAGAGTTGGACACAAACCCGATTTTCGTGTGAAGTCTCCACTGATTGCTGGTAAAGTGGAAATCTGTCTTATGGAGGCATCACGTGTTCTCCCGACCAATAAAAAGATTCGTGATGATTGGGATAAGTTGATCAAGCTTATGAAAGATGCTCATATGCGATTACTGAGTAAGCTCACTAGAGGGAGGGTTGGGGATGTTGTATGGGTCAAATTTGATGCAGCATAACCTGAACTTGGCCTGTGCCACTATTTTTTTTATTATTTTATTACTATTATGTAGCATTTTTCTATATTTGTATATTCTATTATTAGTGTATCTTTGCTATTTTCAGTTATCCTGTTTGGATTACTATTTATGGTCGAAATCGACTCCATGGAATCGATGGAGTCCATTTTGTCGATTTTTAGTCTGTAAAAATGCATTATATAAAGAGCCTTTGGCTCGTTTTAAATAAAGACAACTTATTAGAGTTTTAAACTTCGAAACCATTATAGTAAAAGTTGTTTCTTAAATAATTGATACCTTTGACCCTGGAATCGCTTAAGTAAAACCTTTTCCTGACCCGATATTCCGTTATAAAATCATAGTTGAATATAACCTTTAGTTGTAGTTGAGTTAGAGCCATCGAAATTCGAGTAGAAGTGTTCACTCTGAGTTATCCGTTTTTTTACTATAGTTACTTACCCCTTGAATCGTTAGTTACGCTTAGAGACCCTGAAAATTCGTCTCAACCAAACCCTTGACCCCACTGTAAACCTTAGTGGAACCCATTTCGATTGTTAGAGTGAAAGTAACAGACTTATAGTCGATTCAACTACCCTTATATACCCAAATACCCTAAGACCCATTGTTACTGTAAATTTATCGAACAATAAGATCTTCGAAATTACCCGTGACTTACTGAGCTCGTGACATCATCGATCGATTGAAGATCCGATTTCCGACATCAAATTACCGATTCCGATATCAATTGCCCGTGACGTAATCGAGATCATCGTTAAGAATCTTAACGATCGAAACCTGAATATTGAATCACCGATCGACATAGGTAATCGTGACCACGTGACACGTGACCCAAAAGAAGCAATAGTTCGTAATAGAAGAAGTAAAAGTGTTAGTGATAATACTTTCGAGACACCAAAGACATATTATAAGTCTAAGACTTATCTGAACCCGGCAACCTCACCATAAGGCCTTACAAAGCTCTAGAACTCGGACCAAGTCTTTCCACGTCTCATTTCGAAGCCTACCACTCTAGGGTTTCAGTCTTAT